TGATTGAGTGGTTGCTTCTTGCGTGTTTGATTGTGTGTTTGTAGTTTTTGTTGATTGATCGATCGATCAATCGATCGATCGATCGATTGATTGATTGGTTGATTGGTTGATTGATTGATTGATTGATTGATTGATTGATTGATTGATTGATTGATTGATTGATTGATTGATTGATTGATTGATTGATTGATTGATTGATTGACTGCTTGTGTTTGTATTGGTTGCTTTTATTGGCTGGTTGTTTGGTTGTTTGTGTGCTTGTGTGTTTGTTTGATTGTTTTTGTTGGTATGGTTTGTGCTGTTTGCTAGTTTGTTTGGCTGCTTGCGTGCTTGCTTTCTTTGTTGTCTTTCGATGTGTGCCTGTCTGCTTGTGTGGTTGCTTGTTTCTTTGTTTGTCATGTGCTTGTTTGTTGGTGTTTGTGCGCTTGCTTTGGTCGTATTGCTATGCTGTTTATTGATTGTTTCTTGTGGCGTTATCTTTCTTATTTGTTGCAGCTGATCGCTGTTTGTTTGTTGTTGTCTGTTGCGTCTTGGATGCTCCGTGATGCGTGTTGGGTGTTGCCTGTTGCCCATTACTTCTTGTTGGTTTTTTGGTTGCTTTGTTGTCTGCTTGTTGGCGGTGTTTGTTGCTGTTGCTGCTGCTGTGGTTGCCATCGTCATCGTCGCCGCCGTCGTGGTTGTGGTCGTTGCCGCCACTGCTGCTGTCGCGTTTCCATGTGCTGGTTGAACAGGTGTCTTGTTTGCGACATACGCAAGAAGGCCACGCAAAAGCTTTGCGCGCATGTTGATATGTGAAATGTAAACACAAAAACACCATGTGTTACTGCAGTAAACCAAACCAAACAATAGGATTGCCCCTCCGCCCACATTGGACCAACTCGATTTGCCTGTCCGAGCTTGATGAAGAACGGGCCCAGAGTGGTCACCTCAGCTCCATTCGCACAGGAAGTTGTGCATCAGTATGCTTCCCTCTTTACCCAAGAGGAAGCTCATCTATAAGCGGCAACCAAGAGGTCGCGGTTGAATGGGCTGAAAAGGCCAGGGACTCTTGTGAAACGAGGAAGCCCCGTGTAAGCAACGTTGGGGCTTTCGCTCTCGGATCGGTGAGCCATTACAAGATAAAGAAACTCTGTGATCCAACTGGTGCAGCGGCGAATGAGTTAAACACGAAAAGCAATGCGGAACACGGGCTTTCTATGATACGAAAGTGCTCGACTCCCATCCACACTACTTCTTCACTTCACTTCAGAAAATTCACGACTACGATTCCCATCCCTTCTTCACTGCACTACTTCTTCACTTCGCTTCAGAAAATCATGGATACGATTCTGCACGATATCGCGGAACACGACAAACAAACACCTTGGCAATCTTTGGCCCTTGAGGCTATCTACTGCTCACCTTGACCGGTGGCTTTTTTGGGAAATCCAGTGGATTCCCTGTTGGATCCCAGAGAGCCCCTGTGGGCAACCTGGATTTTTATCCATAATTCTACTGGTCCCCACAGCTTAGGATGGAACTCTTGAGGCGTGATCAGCCACACCCCAAGACCCCCCCCTGCCTCCATTTGCGGATTCGGCCTGGAAAAAATCACAGTATGTCCAATATTGATAGATTCCCTTTGAAACCAACAGCATTCTTTAAAAGTGTGTGTGTGTGTGCTTTTAAGCACAAACTCATCTTCCAGCAAATGGAAGGTGGAAGGGGAAACCACACAAGCTTCGACCGCCTTTTTGCAGCGCGCGTCTCCATTTTGACGTGTTTTCAGTGGCAGGGATCCGACCGAAAGCGCCGCCCGAAGCTGTTCGCCGCCCGAAATCGACTCGTCGAGGGGCGATCTCGTTGAACTTGGCGGCCTGCTTCACCTGGGCGTCGGTGTCCACACGCCCCGTGAGGCGATCCCAGGCCTGAGGCGAACACCGGGGGAGTTGTGCCAGGGGAGATTGGCGTTGGTCGACCAAAGCAAACCCCAGAAAACCCGGTGTGAAACGAGAAAAAGACCCGGAACATCCCAGTGAAAGTGTGTTTCTACCCAGAAATTCCGGGTGAAACTCGAGAAACCCCGGAAAATATCAGCGACCCTTGAAACCAGGGCTGCGGAAAATGGAATCCACGTCTGTGACACAACAACAAGGGCCTCCCAAAGACTAACCCCCCCCCAAAAAAGGGAACTCCCTTGTATCACGGAGGGGATAAACCTCGAGCAATCCCAAACCGCTGAACCAACGGATTCTGTCACACCAGGGCATTTGTGTTTTTCAATCAAAGTAGCCTCCTGTTCACTAACACGGAACCTTCGAAAGGAACATTCCAGGACCCTCAGTCAGGTTCCATGTTAGAGGACAGAAGGTAAACCGAGCAAATTATGGAACCTCGAGGGATCGTTGTTTCTTTCGCACCCAAAGTGAAACCAGCGGCCGGTGGATGAAGTACCATGCATGAAAGACAATAATTCTCTCGCGGACCTGAATTACCAGCATAAGACATAGGCCAAGTTGAAGAAACCTTTGATCCGTTCCCAAATATGAAAGGGGACTTTGTAACTTTTGGGAAAAAAACAAAACAAAGCACAGTTGACAGGGGGGGGCTTCATTACGTTCTGTTTGGTGGGCACTCCCAAAATGATAGTTTTCCTTTTTGGTTTCCCTTTACCACAAAAGGAGAAAGAGGCTCAAAAAAGGACCCCCAAAAATTATCCGGGGGAGGGAGGGCCTCTGACGGGAAGGCCACCCCCGACATTTCCGCCGCAACCGCAACCAGATTTTCTCAGGCGCCGGCGATCATTCCGATCAGCGGGGCTCCGGTGCCTCGGGTAAAGCCCAAGTGAGGCGCAGTCAAAACCGATCGCTAGCTCCTCCAGTAGAGATCCCTCCTGCTTTGACTTAACAATTCCAATGGGGCTTCCGTTTTTGTCCGCAACCATTTGGGGGATGTCGTCTTTTTACTAGGTCCTCCAGAGAGGTTAGAATAAGTTGGCACCAACTTTTTTCTGTAGGACTTTTTTTAGTAGGGGAACCCTCCCAATCAAAAAAGGGGCTAAGAAGGGCACCTAGCTGGGGGACCTAGGATCGGTATTCAAATGGTGGGGACCCAGAACCGATGTAAAGAGTCAAAAAGGCGGCTGCATTGATTTATGGCTGGGATCGTCCCTCACCCTTCAACTACCCAGCTTTTGATTGTGACTCAAGTGAGTTTCTTGGCCACGTGTTTTAAGGGAACCCGCTAAACAGGCCAAAGGAACGAGAGGCCCCGTGTCCTGTCAAAAAGCTTAGTTGGGGAACCCAAAAGGAGGATGTCGTGTTTTGAAGGGTACACAATCCAGGAAGTCTTACTTGTGGGGCAAGCAAGCTCTTTCACACGGAGAGTGAGCTCCAAGCCCAGCCCCATGAGTTACCAAACCCTTCCGCAAACATAGCCGTGGGGGGGCACTTGGCAGCTCCGTTTTCTTCGAAAAAGTACCCCTTGTCAAATGCCACGTTGGTGGGTAAAGGTCTGCAAATTCCAGAATTCCAAAAGGTCCTTAAGGGATCCTCTCCAAAGGCCCGACATAGCTATAGCTGCTGTCACCTCCCTTCAGGACCATCCCGAAGATGCGCGGCTCGAGACTTGTTGCGAGCCCAGGCTCTGATGATCTGCAGAATCCTGAGGCGCGCGCGCTTCTGAGTCGAGTGGGACCTGACCTCCACACCCAAACCCCATGGATGTGGTTTCATCTCCGAAAAGGAGGATCCCAACGGTCCCAACGACGCCCTTTGCCTTACGGTGGAAACCTGCACCCAACTTGTCTAAAATACCAAAGTATACCAAAGTGGTGGATTCGGATCCATGACCTTGGAATCACAGCACCTGGCTGTACAACCCAATTCTCAACCATTGCTTGGTTGACGTTGGAAGGGGAGCGAAAACTTAAATGTTAGCAGTTAAGTGGGTATTTCCCACTAAGCCACAATAAGCAAAAATGTAAAATGCTTCCCAACAACAACCATGATTGGACCATGGCCATGTCCCACCTCCGTTGGACCCCAACCGCCCTCACCAGCCTTCGGTTCGATCCAGGCTGAACTGGTCTGAACCAGGTGAGTTGCACAAAAAATCAATCGATCAGAGGGTGCAACATTGTTGGTCGGCAAAGGATTCGCTACCCTTGTGTTTTGCTCATATTGGAACAGTTCGGCTTGCTTGCCGGATGAAACAGCGATTCTTGGTGCTCGAAAAACTATCAACTTGAGAAGCCCGGTGTTGCTGGACCCCCAACCTGAAATCTGGGTCCCAAAGCATGTGGGTGTGTCTTGTCTTGAGCTGGTCCCCCTTTTTTGTGAGTTTTAAAAGGAAGGCCAAAGGAACGCTACTGTGTTGGTGGGTCCAACCACAAAACAAAGGCACAGCCATGTAAGCCAACATAGGTGTGGACCATGGACCCCGGACGCCTCTGCAGCTGTACCCCGGGCAAGCGATCGAAGTAGTCCGCCAAAATGGTGGGGTCATAGGTCAGGGGCAGACCAGACTCCTGGAGAATTCTGAGACTCAGTTGTTCTGTGACCCTGGAAAACAGGGAACCCTTTTGGGGAAGACCATTTTTAGTGGGGCAGCCACCAAAAAAGGGGACAAACGGTGCCACTGAACAACTGAGGAGATCCATTTGCAGTAAAATAACTTTGGACACCACCAAAAAAAAAACAAGAGTAACACATGCTTTGATTTAAAAACAATGCTTGCCACTGGGCTCCATCATGACCCCCGTCCCTTGCTGGATCCGTTTACATTTGGAGCCAAGGAACCCAACCTTTAAAAAACCAAAAGGAAGATACAACCGGTTGCCTACGTTTAGTTGCAGAGTACGTAACTAAGGCCAGCCACCCACATATAGGAAATAGCTAGCCATCTTTGAAGTGAACTGGGATCCGCTGGGCCGGATACATCGCTGAGCATTGCACCTGGAGGCTTCTGGATCTTGAGGGCTTGGACCCAAGGGCATTGGGAGGCGGTTTTCCAACTGCGCGCCTGGTTTGCCAGAGATTTTTCTCTCTCATAGGGCTTCATGAATCTTACCTGGTGACCCAGTGCATTTTGCCCATCAGTAGGACTTTGGGGATTTTCCATGAACCCAATCTGCGGATTCGAAGCCTTGGATTGTCCCTCTAGACCGGGATGTCTCAAAATGCACCATCTGGCACGAGGATTAAGCATTGAATTTGAGCAACCCCGCGAGAGTGGTCCAATTTCGAGGTAGGAGAGGCTGACCTTTCAATGGCCGATCCAATGAAGCTTTGGCGGCGGACTACATGAAGCAATCACACACAAACACACAAAAACACAGAAACACACACACATACACATACACACACACACAGACACATACAAAACCAAGAGAGCACATACACACATGACACATTTTTTGTGGACATTCAAATGGTCACTCGGCGGTTTCCTCATCCGTGGGAATGTCCACAAGCCGCATCTCCAAACCCTCGATCTGGCGGTCGCTGTCGTTCAGGCCTACGAGAATCGCGGCTTCCAGCCGGGTACTGCGATCCCAGGTAAGGCCCTTTTAGGTAGCCAGATCTTCCTTTTGGTTGTGTCCCCTTGGTTACCTATACTGGAAGATGGACTTTTTTGAGCTTGGTGCCCTTAGTGGTCTACTCTACAGCTAAATGTTGGCACCCACCCGTGTCAGCTTCCTTCTGGTTAAAGGGTGGCAGGCCCTTGGTTATCCGCACAGGTAAATGGTCTGGGCTAGATAATCAGAGGAAAACACTACAAGAAGCAACCTGCAAACTTAGACGGGAATTCACGAATACAAAAAATGGGGGACATGTCGGGTTGAACACTACACAGTGATTGGGGTTCGCTGCAAAAAGTGTGTGTGTGTGTGTGTCTTCTTGTTCAGGGTAATTAGCCTATTTCGGATTGGTTTAGAGGGAGGCCAAAAAGGCAATCACATTTGTTTCTTGCGGGTGCTCTATTTTGAGGCAAACACATATGCACGGACACTTTCATTTCCTATTGCTATTCTGGTCAGGGCAACGCATGTCATCACCTCTGCTACTCAATGTGTTTTCCGAATCCAACTTAAAGCAACATTTGCTTTCACTTGTCGGGGCCCTCGAAAGTAGCGAATCAATTTACAGAGGTGTTGCTTTGTTTGGGGTGCCCTGAACAAGTGGTCGACCTAAGGTTCCCTCAAAACGAACACTCGGAATGGACTTTGCCCCGCGGGCTTCGGACTCACTAAGGTTGACCCAATGGGACCGACTGGCGCTGAAAGACTTTGGAGGCCAATCCGACTTTCCATCCCTATAAGCTTCGTTCCACGTGTTGGCTTGGTGGTTACGGGGTGGTTTTCCGTGCTCTACAAGAATTCGGGGTTCACATACCACTAAATTTAGGGGTTACCTTCAATAAGTAAGGAAAGAGCTCCTGAAACAACATGGTGGACAGGATTGCAATGCCGAAGAGAACATCTTGAGGCAACCATAGGCAACCTCTCGTCCACTTCTATTGGAACAACCATGGGTTTGATTGGAGCTAGGAACCGGTAAGCCTTCGAATGGGACACCTCCATCTGCCGACTTGAAACATCCTGAACGTCCGAAACACCGGGTGATTCCTACCTGTAGGCGCGCGCGCGCGCCCCAGCGCAAACGCAACCCGGCCCACGCATGCATCCCTTTCTGCCTGATCCTCTTAGGCCCTGCATCATCAGCTTCAAGTCCTGAAATCGGACTTCAAACGACCGGAGCTTCCAATGGAATCTGTGCCATGAACGTGTGGGCCTCGAAGATTGCTTCAGACATGGACCAATTCGGGTTTCCCCCATTCTTCCAATTGCGCCCCGAGTTCCCATCCCCGAACAAAATTTGGCTAACATGGATCAACGCAGTTTGCCGTTCCTGGGTTGGTTTTAAGCCGCTATCATGCATACTGCTGGAGGAAACCCTCGAAGCCACACCATCCATGTTTAACCAACCTGACGCCAGAAGGAGAGCTGAATCAAAACCAACCATAAACCCATGGTAAGCTATGAACATGTCTGAACCGAATTGTGGGCCCGTCATCGCGAGTTTCCAATACCACACAACCACTGCCAGGGGAAACGGGGTTTATCACCACTACATCACCATTACACAATGGTTGCAAACCCATGTAGGTGTGTCTTTGTTTTGGGGACTCCTTACAATGGTGACTTTCCTTTGGCGTTTATTTGGGGGTGTTTTGTTTTTTGGTACCCCTGGGGTCGGAAAGCCTAAGGAACGATGTTGGAGCAAATCAGGATGGAACGCGGGCCCCCTAGTTTAGCACACACCTATTTTGAGACGCCTGGCCTCATCTTTCTCCATGGAAGCTTCCAGCTGCTTCCTCTGCTGCCGCATTTGCTTGGACAGGTCCTGCATAGTTCCTGAAGGGCTCCACAATGGGCAAAGGAACAAAAAGTGGCAAAAGCCCGCTGTTTGTTGGACCCCTACTGGCCACTTGTCAATTTCAGTGGACTATTTACCGTGGGATTTCGGTCCACCAACCGGTTTTGAGGGTATGCCAAACAAACTTATAGTCACCTGGCTTGAGACCACAGCCAAGCTTCCGCATAACAAATACCTCACGAGTAGGGACATCTCCAACTGCTTGGAGACACACACACACACACCAACAAACAAACAAAAAACAAAAACAACACACACACACACAATTGCACACTAACACCTGCGAGACAAAACAAGCCCTTTCTTTGCTGTGTTCACCATTAGGTCGCATGCACCATGGTTTGAAGACTCAAAGGCATACAGACTAACATACGCAAATTGACAATATGTCCGAAACCTGAAACAAAGGATCCCCATGGTGAGCTCGTGTTACTCCCAGGTGAGCTCGCCATCAATTGTAGAACACGCAAAGTGCACACACACACACATAAATCACACAAACAGCTATGGCTGTATGGCCCCGCTGCACGGACAAGATTTTCGGTCTGCCCATTGCCGAATCAAGCAGCACCCAAAACCCACTGACTGTCGGTTCTACCAACCCCCGTGAATCCAAATAGTAGAACCAACTTCGGATTCATCTGCCGGAGGACTGTACTAATCAGGGGTGGTTCCTTTGTGGTAGGTAAATAGTATCCGTTTTAGGGGGGTTGCTCTGATCAGGGTCCACCGGATTCACCCGAAGTCGTAACAAAATGGCCCGTGGGAAGTGGTGTGCAGCACAATCGAACCCTGCGGACGGACTTCTCCGCTTCCCCTCCTACTTCCCATTCGCGTCTATCCACGTAGAGAAAGCTTCACGCCGCAGAACCACATTGTGAATGGTCACGAAATCCATTTCGCACCACAGTTCCACTGCTCAGAAACCCAGGAATGATTCGATTCCCCAACGCAAACACCAACAACCATTCTGGTTCCACCCATGGTTTCAGCTTGTGGTGCGAAATAGATTTTGCGTCACCATCCACGCCTTGGGCTCTCTCAAAGGACTCTCTCAAAGGCTGAAGGATCAGTTGAAGTCTGCGGACAATCCCCGCCTTGGGCTCTTCGCTTCACCTTGGCTCGTCTCGCGGCCAGCACGGTGAGGCTACCTGCAGGGCAGTTTGGCCAACGGATCTCCAGTGGATTTCCATGTTGGTTGATGTTTGAGGGGAAACCACCTGCAAGAAAACGAAAACATGACACCTCTGGGAACAGGGGAGTTTTCTACTGGCAGTTGGGGGAAAAACGAAGGTTCGCGTCGTCAGCATGAGAAGGGCCTAGAATTCACTTGCCGGTACAAGTAGGGAATGACGGAGACCGGGTTGCGGGAATGAACCGGAAGGGATTCCCTTGAATGGAAACCACAGGGGATGGGATTTTCTTGAAGTCATTTCATTTCTCATTCGCCGCCTGCCAGTGCCAAAGGGCCATAGCTGTAGCTGGATCGCCGGGTATCGGTCTTCCGGCGCAGCGCCGGGTTGGCCGGCGGCAACGGCGCGGCCAGCACGGGCGCGGGCACAAAGGCCTCAGAGCGTCCCTTTGAAGATGTCACGATGCAAGCCTCCATTTCAGGGGTCTGGATCCGACTGGGCCCTCAGATCCCCCGCTGAAAGTTTAGCTTTTAGTGGGTTAAATGATGTTAAATGGAAACTACCACTAAACACTCAAAAGCTGAAAGGCTAAGGGGCTGGCTGGGAGCCACCAAGACCAATAAACCCCCATTCATAGGAGGTGTACCCTACAAAAGTGATGAGTCCCTATATGTTACGGGGACACCAGGGGTGTGTTTGTCCTGGGTGGAAGAGCTTGGACCTCTGAAAGGGCCTCACCCAGAAAGGGATCGGGTCCTTTCCCTAACCCGAACCCTGACTTCCATTTACTTCTTCATATTTTTCCAGTATAGTGCTAGATTCCCTCTAAAACCAACAAGAGAAAAATCGTACAACATATTCTTAAGAAAATGGAAGCTGGCCATGATCCCCAGTCCCTTTGTTTGGCTTGAAGAGAAATCCACGTCCATCGGCACCATGAAGGAAATCCCATTGGAACAAACCATTCGTCCAGTACGAACCCCAGTGGGGTTGCTCACTTCCTGAGTGGAATGCCCCAACAAAGGGGCAACTTCTTATCTACCACAATGGCAACCAAACCCGAAAAGTGACTAAAGTCTGAAACGGAACTCAGGAAGTGAGGATATCTTAGGGTAGCTTCTCCTCGTCCAAGCTTGTCCCCTCCCCTCCTGTTCTTGCAGAAAGGGAGTCTAGGGATTGGTTGCCACTGGTTCTTTTTCAAACTACTTGGATCGCAGGTGGCAATCGCTTATTCCCAACAACGGCGGTAAATGTTGGTTTGTAAAGTGTCTGGAACAAAGCGAGGTGTGCAAGAGTGGGAGGTTGACAACCTGTAGGGAGTCAGTTTCAACACTTTGACTCTGGTCTGGAAGACTGTTCACAATCAGACAGGACGCAGATCCCAGCGAGAAGCTATCCAGCAACAAAGCGTCTTCCATTGCAGAGGTCGGAAGATCGAGTTTTGGTGGGCGGATGAGGACTGGATCTCCTGAACTATGGATCTTGGCCTCAGATTCTCTGGCCTCATCTCAGTGGACTCTATCTGAAGCCGACAGAATCGGAAGCGCGGCAACTGGCGTCGCTCAAGGATGCAGCATGGAACTGGAGCAAGCAGAATCTCGGAGTTCCATCTACTCAACAACGTTGTTTCCCTGGGGTGAATTCGGTGGGTTGCCCGTTTCCGACCAGGCGTTAGTTTCACTGGGGCTCCAGGTTCATATATGAATCGTCTGAGCATTGCACCCCAAGTGGCTTCTTCGCTCAGTAAGCTCCCACCCACAACCAGCCACCCACAACCTTTTCAATGGCCAAGTTGGATCCTTTCCGAAGCGCTGTTCAAGTGAGACTGCGAAAACCTCGCGCCGAAACCCCACCAAGGGCCCCAAATTCTTACGGATTAAGGTCTTCCAGGAGGGTCCTTGGTTTCCCGACATGGGTGTGTGAAAATAGGGGACCCCCCAATGGGTGGGGGTCCTTTGTGTTTTCCCTTCAAACCACTCCACAACGGGTACACTTTTCAACAACACAAGCCCAAATAGGAAACAGCGCATGCTCACTTCTCACTGGAACCCCCTCTCCAGCATGCCTGGAACATGTTAGCATATAACCGCGACGAGTTTGTGGGGAGTTGCGCCGCTTTCATCGCGGGAATGACATGGAAGAACGCGATACACGCCCATCCGTTGAAGGCAGGAATCGCCTTTCAAAAAAAGGGTTGAGAGTTCCTTCCACTCCCTCCATTTGCTTGTTCCTCCCGTGGGAAAAACGTAATATGTGCCTTGGTAAACATTAAAGTAACATAGAAGCATCAAGTTTCTTTCGGGGGGTAAGAAGCGCAGGTTTTTTCTTGGGTGCTTGGATTCTCAGAGGGCACAGCGCCAACTCGAGGTCTGTGTCCCAGGGCATCATCGACACATCGCCTCAAAAGTCCCAAAGTCCCGGCCGCCAGTGGTTGGCTTCTTTGGCTTGACTCAGGGGGTGGTTTGGAGCCGAATCAGTGGCTTTGTGGTGTTCAGGATGGAACCCCAATAAACCAGACAAGGGGCGACAAAAATCCAACTCCAATCCAATCCAAACCACAACCCTACCAGGTCCAAAACCCTGCCTGGCAGTATGGAACCCTCCAAGTTGCTGAGACCATCCAAACCACCAATTAAGGGTTGCCAGATTTCTTCGGCGTGCCTTCATACAAAGCTCCGTGGGAGGTTTCCTCTTTGGTTTCCCTCAAGCCCGAAGCGGCTCTGAAAGTTAGCAAGCCCAGGCAATCGTCTGGGTGTTCTTTCTTGTTGGTTTGCTTCATATATCAAGCTCCCTCTGTTTCTAGGTTCCTTTGAAGGTGTTCGCGCCTTTTTCTTACGGAATCAGCGGAAAGGTACAACAATGGTGCGTTCGCCTGAGCAAGCAATCTACCAGTTCAAAATAGTGAGAGTACCCAATGTCACCAGTGCTCCTTTGAGGTCTGTTTTCTTCTCAGCCGCTATGAAAAGTACCATGCAAAATACAACGGATAATACAAGCCTTGCACAAATCCATAGCTTCGGGTCACGACTGGGGCAAGAAACCTACAACAAGGAGAGCTTCGAACAGAGGTATGCAAATCGACGGATCCCAACACCAAGTCTTTGAGTACCTGCGGGGGGAAGTTTCGAAAGGGAAACCAAACAGAAACCACATACCAAATAGGGTTGACTGTGCCATCTGCTTTCACACCATAAACAGGGCGCCACGTGCCGAAAGTTAACTTCGGACCAATCCACAAGTTGCGTGGAGAGGGCTGATCTCCGACTCCAATTGACACACACACATCAATATGTGTACATAGACATATATATATATGCTACCCCCCGCCCCCAGGTACCCAGGTTTGGGCTTGGTTCAGATGTGCTTTTGACCGCGGAAGCAGGCAGGAAGAATAGCTCAGATTTGCACACTGGGAGACCAGAGGAAGAAGGTTTGCCTCATTGAAGAAAGACGCCTTGGACGTGACCCATGCCCTTTTTCAATGGCTCTTCCTTCCACAAAATTCAACTCACTGACATATCTTCCCACGCAAGCCATGCCTTCTTTCAAAGGCTCTTCCACAGATAACTCACATATCTTCCCACACAAACCATGCCTTGTTTCATTCAAAGACCCTTCACAGAAAATTCACACATCCTCTCACCCAACACATGTCTTTTTACATGTCTTCTTGCAATGAAACAAAGGCAGCATATGTGAAAGAGTTGCCAAGGACAGTGAGCCCCGTGTAGAATAAAGCCAGGCTATGGCTGGGACAGTTTGTGTTACATAAATGGTGGTTTCACATGATATTTACTGTCTTTTGGTGTACTTTTATGAATCACTGTAACCCTGACTCTTCCACAAAGACCCACATATCATCTCAGGCTTGCCCAGCCTTTCACTCCTCAGGGTGCCCCCGGTCGTGCGCCGCCACGTGAATGGCGCCCACCGCCGCCTCCCGGTGTGGCTCCAGGGCCGCTGGCACGACGTGCAGGCGTTCCGCCTGGGCCGTGAACGGACAACCCCGCGCGCAGGCGTGTTGCTTCAGCGCTCGGCCAGAAGCCCCAGCACCTCTGCTGGGGCCGTTTCGCGCATCTCCTCCTCGTCCAGTCCCAGCCACAGGGCGTCAAGGACACCTTGCCAGATTTGTCGTTTCGCTTTGGTTCGCTTGTCAAAGCTCTTGCAGCCAAGACGCGCTCCAGCTCCGCCTTTACGCGCGGCCACCCCGCCGAGACGAAGCGCCGGCTTTGTGGGTCCCGCTCGCAACCTTGGCGCACGACCAACAACCGACACATCGGCAGAGGATCGCGCTGCTGGGTTCCTGGCGCCTCGCACGGCCCACGTCCTTGCGCGCCTTCGCCCAAGCCCGTTTCTGGGCGAGGCGGGCGGCGAGCGCGTCCACCGACGTGCTGCTGCTTCCACTGGAGGAAGAGCTGTCTTCTTCGCGGGCCTGCGCCAGATTGGCTGAACAAGGCGTTGGCCGGGCGCCGGGGCCGTGCCTCAACCGCCTCTGGCCGCTCGCCGGGCGCAAACACAAAACATGTCTTTTTCCATAATTCTTCTCTACAGAAAATGCACACATCCTCTCACCCAGAACATGTCTTCTTTCACAAAGGTTCACATATCCTCTCACCAAAACATGCCATTTTTCAAAGGCTCTTCCACAGAAAACCCACATATCTTCCCACACAAACCCCTTCTTTCAAAGACCCATCTCACACAAAGCATGTCATTTCAATGACTCTTCTCTACAGAAACTTCATTCATCCTCTCACCCAAAACATGTCTTTTTACATGCCTTCTTTCACAAAGGTTCACATATCCTCTCACCAAAACATGCCTTTTTCAAAGGCTCTTCCACAGAAATTTCACATATCTTCCCACACAAACCATGCCTTTTTTCAAAGACTCTTCCACATAAAATTCACACATCCTCTCACCCAACACACGTCTTTTTACAAGACTTCTTTCAATGAAACAAAGTCAGCATATGTGAAAGAGTTGCCAAGGAAAGGGGACCCTGTGTAGAATAAAGCCAGGCTATGGCTGGGACAGTTTGTGTTACATACATGGTGGTTTTACATCATATTTACTGTGTTTTGCTGTACTTTTATGAATCACTGTAACCCTGACTCTTCCACAAAAGACCCACATATCATCTCACACAAAACATGTCTTTTTTAATAGTTATTCTCTACAAACAATTCACATATCCTCTCACCCAGAACATGCATTCTTTCACAAAGGTTCACATATCCTCTCACCAAAACATGCCATTTTTCAAAGGCTCTTCCACAGAAAACCCACATATCTTCCCACACAAACCATGCCTTCTTTCAAAGACCCTTCCACAGAATATTCACACATCATCTCACACAAAGCATGTCTTTTTAATAGCCCTTATCTACAGACAAGTCTTTCATCCTCTCACCCAAAACATGTCTTTTTGCATGCCTTCTTTCACAAGGAATCACATATCCCCTCACCAAACCCATGCCCTTTTTCAATGGCTCTTCCACACAAAATTCAATTCACATATCCTCCCACGCAAACCATGCCTTCTTTCAGAGGCTCTTCCACAGATAACCCACATATCTTCCCACGCAAACCATGCCTTGTTTCATTCAAAGACTCTTCCACAGAAAATTCACACATCCTCTCACCCAACACATGTCTTTTTACAAGACTTCTTTCAATGAAACAAAGGCAGCATGTGTGAAAGAGTTGCCAAGGAAAGTGAACCCTGTGTAGAATAAAACCAGGCTATGGCTGGGACAGTTTGTGTTACATAAATGGTGGTTTTACATCATATTTACTGTCTTTTGCTGTACTTTTATGAATCACTGTAACCCTGACTCTTCCACAAAGACCCACATATCATCTCACACAAAACATGTCTTTTTCAATAATTATTCTCTACAGACAATTCACATATCCTCTCACCCCGAACATGCCTTCTTTCACACAGGTTCACATATCCTCATGCTCCGCAAATGTTGCGCAACATTTGAAATTTGTTGCGCAACATTTCCCTGGACCAAAAAACCAAAAAAAAAAAAAAAAAAAAAAAAGACTCCGAGCCATGGTGGGGGCCAGGATTGGTTTTTTGTTTTTTTTGTTTTTTGGTTTTTTGGTTGTTTGGTCCACAAAATGGCCTTGCAGAAAATGCATGAGTTCAATCAAAATACACCGTAAATATCAATGGTTTTGATACATGATGCAACAACACCTGGGTACTGGGGGGGGGTACCATATATATATATATATACTCGGTTGCTTTCTGCTCCCCTGCTAAAAGTTTAACTTTTGGTGGTTTAGTGGAAAACCCATTAGTTGGCAAAAGTTAAAGTCCTAACAGCCAAGCAAAATGCACCAAAGTCTATGTTGACAAGTTGGCGGCCCTAAACCTCCCGCCTCCTCGGATCATGGCGGTCAGCAGCGTGCCCTGACATGGCTCGGATTCATCA